AAACAGGCTTTTGTCTCATTGGTTTTCTATTAAATTTATATTTTCAAATATTGGTTTCTGCTTTTATCTTTATAGTTTCCTCCCCACTGCTCACTTGGGGGTTATTTTGCTCTTCTTGTTCGAGTTTCCTGGGATAAGAACTTAGACTGTAGATTCCAGACTTTTCCTTGTTTCCTGTGTAAGCATTTGGTGCTATAAATTTCACTCCCACTGTTAAATTTCAGCACTGTTTTAGCTGCATCCCACATGATTTTTATGTTGTGGTTATGTTTTCACTGGGTTCTAAGTAGTTTTTATTTCCTTTGGCACTTCTTCTTCGAGCCACGGATTATTCAGGACTATGATATTCAAATTCCATGTGTTTTCTGTAGTCTTCCTATTATTAATTTCTAATTTGATCCCCCAGTCTGAGAACAAACTCCATATGATTTTAATTCTTCTAAATTAGTTAAGGTTTACATGCATTTGATGGCTCAGGGTATGGCCTATCTTGTGAGAAATCATCAGCGCTAGAAAAAAATGTGTATTCAGCTGTGGCTGTGGAGAGTGTTAATAAGGAGATTAACATTCCTAAGTGTGTGCACACAGCCTTATAATAAATGAAGCAAAAACCGATAGAGATGACCAGAGAAGTAGACAAACACAAAATTGCAGTTGAGGACCTTACCTCCTGCCTCTAGGCAACTTCTAGATCTTCCAAACCAGTGGTTCTCAACCTTCCTAATGCCGCGGCCCCTTCATACAATTCTTGTGGGTCACTACCCATAGGTTGAGAACCACTGTTCTAGACACAAAATCAGCAAGGACAGAGAAAATTGGAAGAATACCCTCAATCAATGGTATAATGCACATATGGATTCCTTGGGATCCTTTTTCAAAATACAGATTTCTAAAGTTTCGCAAAATATTGACAATTGTTGAATTTGAATTATGGGCCCATGGGGGTCCAAGTATTCTTGTACTTGTGTGTGTGTTTGAAACTTTCCATAAGAAGACGTTCAGAAGAAAAATTAAAATGTATTAATTCAGATTCTTGGGCCTTTATGCCTATATCCTGATTTAGTAGTTCTGAAGTAGGATCCAGGAATCTTCTTAGGTGCCCTAGCTCAGGTGGTCCTTGGACTACATTTTGAGAAACACTGGTACACGCACTGTTCAATGATTCATATGTTCAACTTACTTATTTTTGTGGTTGCAGTTTTCCCAACTAAGGTACTATATCCAGCCTGTAATCCTCAAATAAATGAACACTCCCTTCTCAGCCCATCAAGCTCTTACCTGAATAGCCTCTGGAGAAAGAAGGTCCTTGTAACCAAAATTGTAAAAATGGAACTCTCCTCCAGTCAAAGAAGCAAGTTCTTTCAAAAATCCATTTGCAATGTCATCATGGTAATTGAAGGAGATAGTATATATTGGAATTTTCTGAAAAACTTTGACATGGTCTATAACCATGTCAGGTGGCTGAAATGATAAGATTGGTGGGGGGAGATGGAAAAAGAGTAGAAAAGGAAGGAAAAAAAAGATATTAAAAACTCTTAGCATTTGCTATAGATAGTAAAATTCTCAAATACTAATTATTTAGACAGTGGTGAGCAGCTTCTATAAAGGTATCAATTCAACTTAATAAACAAGACACCACCAGACACTGAGACTACAAAGACTGATAAAACATGCTACGTGCCCTCGGAACTCTCTCAATTCAGAAAAAAAAGAAGCTAGGAAAAAGACTTGGCTAATCAAGACACTTGACCTTGGGTGCACCTAAGCTTGGAGCCCATGCCCTTAAAGGGCTTGGCTAGGTTTACATCACTTAAAGTACTGAGGTCCAAAGCCATGGGTAGGACATTCTGACCACAGGGAGTCCTCAGAGCAGGGCCCTAAGATTCTTTTCCAAAGCACCTCCCCTAGCAGAGTGATTGCCAGCTTCCAACATGCTAGGGTTGACTTGCTTCCCACAGAGAATGACAGAAGAGATGTAAGGTCCTCCTACGTGCTAGGCGTTCATTCTAGGGAGGGAAAAAGGCTGGCAGCCTCTGTGAGGAGCATACTAAGAAGCCTCGGAGCCAAGAGAGGACACCACACCCACAGGAGTTGGACAGGGCAGAGGCCTCCACTGCACAGCCCAGAAGACCTACTAGAGTGAGTGGCTGGAAGGGTCAGGTGTAGGCAGGCTGCAGTGGTGAGCAGTTTGCTCCAACTTCCAGAGTCTTCTCCTCAAAGCTCTGAGGCTGTAAAGCAGTAGATCCTGAGGGCGTGAGGGCAGGAGGACAGGAATGGCTCATTCCCACAGCAGGGATGGAGCGCTGCTTCTGCTCATCCTCTGCCAGCTCTCCAGCACTACACTGTGGCACTCTAACATCATGGTACTTTAGCATGACAGTACTTCCCCGAGGTTGGGTGCAACTGGGGGGCTCATAAGGACACACGAAATACTATCTCACACACTTGTGCTCTCTTTAGCTATATGGAGTGACAAAAATTGCTCTAGAGATGGAGACCTGGGCTGCAAGCTCATCCTTGGCACTGCCCACCTGAATGACCTTGAGCAAGTGTCCTCCTGAATGTGGCACACTCCCTTGCAGGGTTGCTATGAGCAATATATGAGATGATGTTCTCATGAAGGACTCCACAAATACTCATTGAGTACCTTCCATGTGCCAGGTACTGCTGTCAGCCTAAGATGAGATCAAGCGGTGTATCCAAGCAGCTTTCCCAGTCCCCTCTTCTCTGAGTCTGAACAGACATGCAGCCAGAGTCCCCTTCCATCCATTGCTAACAAATGTGGAACAGAAGGACAGGCAGGTATCCTTCATGCTGGAGGGAGGTCCATTTGCATAGGTTGACCCCCTGTGCCTCCCTTTCCCCAACCCTCACACACCCCATGTGGGCCTCATCTATTAGCTTTTATTTAGAATGGCACAGATGCCGTCATCATGTCCTCTTGTTGATTGCAGCCAGTGTGGGCCCCTAACTTCAAAGAAGCCTCCAAATGACCACAACCAAAATTGCACTGGGCTATTCCCAGCAGAGCCCCTTCCCTTTCAGTTTGCACCAACAGACACCCACCAAAGGATATCTCACTAGTGTGGATGTGATTCCATTTTAATGAAGACTAATATTTCTAAAATCCCCTTGACCTGATTAATTTAATACTGCCCTGGACATTTAATGCACCAGTAGTGAGCTGGCGTCCATACAACTGACCCAGAACCACATCTCTGTGTGTTCCTCCAAGTAAAAAATTCTGCTGAATATTTGGCATAATAACATCGGCCTTACACATTAAGTTCCTATAAAGTCAGTGAAAATAAAAAACAAAAGAAGACTGGATGATACATCTTAATAATCTTCTACACAGAACATGAATATCAAATATCTGTTTGCTTTTCTTGAGAGACTCTGAGGGATAATGCAAAGTAAATAGACTGCATTTGTGGAAAAGGCAGTATTGAGTATGAAAATTCTTAAGAGTTCATAAATTACGTTTTGAGTAATTTGCATATTTCTAATATTATTCATGTCCTTTGTTCTCTATCTTTGAGTGAACCACAGACCCTCTGAGAATCTGGTGAAGCCTATTGATCTACTCTCCAGAAAAAAAATCTTCGAGTGTATTTTATATACATTATCGGGAGATTCCAGAGCCTTGGAAGTCCATGATGGACTGTAGATCAAGAATCCTTCCCAATACCCTGGTAGGAGGCATGTTACTTGGCATATCCTCTTTCCAGGGTCAGGAGGTAGTATTTAGCAGCATCCATCAAAATGTCTACCTTTGGATTGATTCCACATCTCAGAATTTACACTATGAATACACTCACACATGTGCAAAATGATGTATGTACACAGTTCCTTCTTCTTTTCTGTGCATAAGAGAAAGACTGGAAATAATCTTTAATGCCCATCTCCAAGGGACTGGTTAAATAAATGATGGCATAGCCATGTGGTGGAATAAGGAAGTTCTTTATAAAATGATATGAAGCAATCTCCAGGTCCTATGGTTTAATGAATAAAGGTATAGAATTATGTGCATGAGATGCTAACATTTGTACTTTTTTAAAAAGGGGAAAATATAAAAAGGAAAAACTGTGCATTTTAAAGAATGTTTTAGAAGCAAAAAGTAAATTTAATATATGAAAATTAAAATTTTCAAAAAGAGAAAAAAAGAGGAAATGTATATGAACAATATACAATATCTCTGAGAGGAGATTTAAGAAACTAGTGACATCATTTGCCTCCCAGCTGGTGAATAGGGACAGGAGGGTGATACACAGACTATTCTGTATACCCTTTTGTACTTTGTGCTAGGTGAACAGGTGACTTATTCAAAAATTAAATAAAGAAAAATAATTTTTAGGTAGAAGTTTTATTAAAGCCATATAACAGAATATGATGTACTCAGTAAGAAGGATGCTTCTGAAGAATTTCTCATGTCTTAGAAAAATGCATATGCTACATTCGATAAAAATGCAAAATACTTGGAGCATACTGCAAGTACAAGTTGGATCTATCAGGTGTAGAGCATAAATGTCTTAATCCTGTAATGGGGTAAAATGGTGAAGGCTATGTTGTTTAATAGGATGTAAACATTCCAATTTGTACAAATCATCATCACATTGAATCATATAATGGCATCAATGTATTTATGATCTATGTACAAAAGACTTAGTAAAAAAATAGAAAAAAAAGCAAAATACAAAATTGAATTTTGAGTGATTTGAATTTTCTTTTTTAATGCTTACCTATACTTTCTAAATTTCCCAGAGTGTAAACAATTTAGGAAATTGGCAAGAGTTTATTATTTGAATTTTCTTTTTTAATTCTTACCTATACTTTCTAAATTTCCCAGAGTATAAACAATTTAGGAAATTGGCAAGAGTTTATTAAAAAGAAAAAGCCCCTCTGCACATATGAGCCTCAGATCGTCATCTTTAATCCCCACACTCCAGCCCCACATTTCTAGGGGCTTCTGCGTGTCTATACACTACAGGTGCGCACGCTCAGCTTCCTTCACGAGCAACTCCTAAGCCTGCTTGCTTCTTCTTAAAAATTAAATTTTAATCACCTAATAACATAATCATTGCAAACCAGAAATTAGTCATCTTAATTCCTTTCTGCCATGCTCCCACCTTCCTCTCATTCCCCATTTCTTGCTTCCAAACTGGCCACCGTGTCTGATAGATGCCCATCTGGAGAGGCAGTCTCTCCTCCCCACTCCTGCTCCTGCCTAAAGCTGGGCCCTTACTAGCTTTCATTGAGGTCCTGGCAGCAGGCTGGGGCAGTGCCAACCTTTCCTTGGCACTACTGAGGCGTGTTTCTAAGGTACGGATGGATGAGATGACCTCCTTTGAGAATTCCACAGTGCAGTAACCTGCCCCTTTAATGTGGCATTCAAGGACTTCCACAACCTCCCTCAACCCAACTTTTTCTCCCAGCCCTGCCACTCTTCCCTCACTGCCTCTACCCTCAGCTTGTTTCTCTGAGCATCCCATGTATTTCCACACCTCTGCATCCCCTTCTGCCCAGACACCAGTAATCTCCTCTTTCCAAATGCTCCCTCCTCAGTGGAACCTTCCCTGAGGTCTCCCCTCCCTCCATCAGCACAATCCATCACTGCATGCTCAGGAAACCCTGTTCCCTGTATTGCATTATAGTTCACTATCGAGCACATTCCCCAGAGTGCATGCTTCCCAAAGGCAGGGATGAGATACTATTCATCTTTGTAGCCTCAAACCTTAGGACCGCATATGAAATATAAGGGGACACACTAAGTTACTTCTGAATAGAAAATACAGTGACGTAGGGTGGTGCCTGTGGCTCAGTGGTAGGGTGCCAGCCCCATATACCGAGGGTGGCGGGTTGAAACCCAGGCCCGGCCAAACAGCAACAAAAAAAAAAAAAAAAAAAAGAAAGAAAGAAAGAAAAAAGAAAAGACAGTGAAGTTGATAAAAAAAAAAAACTTCAAAAGCATTTTCAGTTTACACACTACATTTCCGCCATATATCTAAAATTGTAGTAAAATCTTCTTGCTTTACTATTCAAGGCCTGAACTATTTGACCCAGGATATATTAGAATATTCACCTAGCACTCTGCATATGCAAACATCTTACAAGGATGGATACAAGTTGATTCTAATTCACTTTAGTGGTTAATTTACACTGTGCTGGCCTGAAAATCCTTATATGTATTTACTGCCTGGAGCACTCATCTTTCATTTCCAATGCTCAAAAGAAGATGGACAAACCCCTCTAAAACTTTTCAAATAGTTTCCAGTCAGGCTAAACAAAACCAAGAACATTTCACTAGAAAGGCATGTTTTTGTTTAAATGAGTACTAAGTTAAAATTAAGGGTAAAACCAAGGACATTATGCAGTGACATGTTTAGATTCAGAGTTCCCAAAGGAAAAAAATCAAACAGAATCTCCTCGCTCTTAGTTTGTAATAAAATATAAACCAGTCTTCAACAGAAAGCAGACGACTCCTTTCATGGAGTTGGTCTCCAGGCTATTAGTGGGTGTCACACTAATCAGACAAAGATTAACTTTCACATAAATTCTCTGCAGAGTTTCAGTGGACAAAGGAATTCCTTAGTGTATTTTCTCACCTCAGTTTTGAGTCCCTAAGCCAAGGAAATACATCTCAACTGCTTTTTGATGGCAGCTCAAAAGGTTCCCCAAACCCATTCTCAGTATTCACTTTCCAAGTTTTAGTGAGTCCCTTTTTGTTTCCAACTTTGATACATACTTGATCAGGTCTCCCATCTGTCATAAGGTAGATGACTTGGGTTTCTTTGTCAGCAAAAGCAATTTGCAGAGCATTCAATGTGTTTGTGGAACTTCCAATCTATGGAAAAAAGAGAGGGATGCTAACAATATACTCAAATCTCATAAAAGATCTCACAAATAAGCATTTATTTTCTGCTGGTAAAAAACAAGAAAAAGTACTTGCAACATAAAAGATAAATTAATATTGTATTGAGATAATAATTTAAGGCCAGTGATTCCAAGAAACTCAATCCCTGGGTATGCCATATAAGTTTCTATCCAAGAAGTCCAAAGATGGCTAAAAGTGGGACTGAGGATTTCCTGTCTTGACAACAGAGACCTTAATGTAATTTTATCTTTTTTATGTTTCTGAGGCATGTTTTAAAAATACAAACAGATGAGACAACCCACTCTGAGAGTTCCACAGTGCAGCGATGCTTGCCCTAACTTAGTTACTGATCACTCCTCTGTCAAAAGACCTTAAATATGCAGCCTGAATATACCCTGGTGGGGATCATGTGTGTTTCAAATCAGGATTTACTCACAACACCCAAAATTTGGCAAACGCAAGTGCAGTTTGAACCACAGTCTAATGACAGACACACAACATGTCTAACATAACTTGATTCTGTACAGGTTTTGGTGAAATACATACTTTCAAGTATGTGAAAACATGACTATGATGTCTATGGTTGCATGGTATTGAATGAGAGACTCTAAATGTTCTGCTTTACATATGGTAGGAATAAATGAACAAATATCAGACAAAACTAGAATCAATGAAAAGAAATAAGTCATGGCCCAATCTTTCTCCTACACATAACATCAATCATAACACCAACCACAACTCTCCATGTAGAAAAAAGGACAGATAAGAATATGCACATCGTGTTTCAAGAGAAATTAATGACATATTTTTAGCAATCTTTCAAATCATATTAAACAATTACAAATTAGAAAGCTCTTAAACACATCATCCATATAAAAAGGGATGGAGTTTTAGATAAATGTAAATTTATTTGGAATGTATTCTCCTTCATATTCAAAAATGATCCTTACCAAGAGATTATTAGTAGATACATAAGACTCTGAGTTGTCCAGTAACCTCCTCAAATCTCCCCTTTATCTCAATCCCAGTGTATTAGTTCAGCTTTTGTTGCATGCAAGAAAACCAGTTGTGGCTGATTCAGACAGAGGGTATTTTTGAAAAAAATAATTGAGATGGCTCCCAGCATCATCAAATAGCAGAAGAATCTGACTTGGACTTCTCACCAGGAGCAGGCCCCAAATCCTGTTGCAGACCTGCCTGGTGGTGGCCTTACCACAGACCCACTGCTAAGCACCAGATGCTGTAACTTTCTTCCCTGACACTATGAGTATCAGACATGAGATGGACCAGTAGCCCACTGCCACTACCACACCAGGAGTACTGTCTGTACCTGACACAACTGCTCTAGTTCTCCTTATTAAGCCAACCATCTGGACTCAGTATCTCTCAATTCAGAACCTAGGAGTTATTCTGATTGGTGATGCCTAGGTCATATTACTTAGACCCTAGCCAAGGGGAGGCTAGAACTTTCTACTTCCATATATGAAAAGGCTCTTCCCCTCTGAAGAATCAGGATAAGAAGAGAGCAGAGGGCAGCGCCTATGGCTCAAAGGAGTAGAACGCTGGCCCCATATGCTGGAGGTGGTGGGTTCAAACCCAGACTCAGCCAAAAAAAAAGAAGAGAGCAGAGACTAAGGGCCAAAGGAATGACAAATATCCAGCACTACCCAACATCACCTCCCAAGACTTCCCAAGGCCTCACCACATGCCATAGATGCCCTTGCCATTAAGAGTTTCTCTGACTCAGATAAAGATGCCCTGACCCATTCAATTGCTCTCACCTAGGGATTCTTCATTTAGTTGTACTCCCTTTCTTTCAACATTTATTTACTAAGCAACTAAGTATCTCATTCCAGGCCTATTGCTAGGACAAGGTCATAACTTATAAAACCAAACCAATTCCTTGTCCTGAGGGGGGACTCACAGGATGGTGCTGGAGACCTAGAAAGCCACTTCCAAACACTGTGCTGAAAGCTGTAATGGTTCATGCCCAGCGTAAGATGTATCTTACTCTAGCTGAATGTGTTACTAAAGACACCTTATGGTGGAAGCAGCAGGAAAGACTATTAAAGGATGAGTAGGACAGGTAGGCAAACACAGAAAGGATGGTGGGTGCTCCAGATTCCTTTCTTGTTCAGAATTTAGCAAGTTAATTCCATATTTGTAAAGTCCATATGACAAGACAGATCAAAAAAATGATAGTGGTGATGATAACTGTAAAAACAACATATACTGAGTACTTACTAGGCTTAAGTACTTACTTTTCCTGCATTTTTACCTTGTGGCATAAGGAGGCCAAGGCCCAGCAACCCAGTGAACCCCTACCCTACCCCCACCCCAGAAGGCCATCCATCAACAACAGGCAGCTCAGGGATGTTCCTGCCACCCCTGCAGACAGACCAAACAGGAATTGACCCATTGAGCCAGAGCAGCATGAGATGGCTCAGAAAATTAAGCTATCAGTGGAAGTAAAAGCCCACAAAAGTAAGCTAGAACATACATGCTAAACCTATACACAGAGACTGCCTGCTATATGAAAAGACTTAAATGGGAATAAGGAGTCTCTTAACATAATAACCAAGTTGTCCAGGATATAACTAAAAAGTTATTCTTCATCCCAAGAACTAGAAACACCACATTGGATAAGAAAAACAATCAACTAATGCCCATAGTAACAGAGATCATACAAAAAAAGATCATACCATTAAGAGTTTCAGAAAAGAGAGGAGAAAGAGCGTGGCCCTTAAAAAGTATTCAAGAAATAATGGCTAAAAAAATTAAGTGAATGATACAAAAACTACAATTCAAGAAGCTGAGCAAACCTCATATAGATGAAACCAAAGAAATCTACACCAAGACACATTGCATTTAAATTTCTGAAAACTAAAAAAGGCAAAGAAAAATATCAAAAATAGCCAAAGAGAAATAACACATTGCCTATAAAAGAACATCAATTCAAATGACAGCAGTTTCTCATCTGAAACCATAGAAACCAGAGGGAAGTGCCACAACATTTTTCAAGCACTGAAAGAAGAGAACTGCCAGCCATGAATCATATAGTTGGTGCAAATATCCTCCAGGGTTGGAAGAGAAGGAAAATTATGAAAATTTATTGCTGGGAAACCTACCCTTAAAGAATGGCTAATGGAAGCTCTCAAAATAGAGAACAATAATAGAAGATTGGACTTTTAGAAAGGAAAGAACAATGGAATGGATAAATATAGAAGTAAGCATAAAACATAATCCTTAACTTTGTGAGTTTCTTTAACTGTGTTTTATAATTGTAGCAAAAGTTTAACAGCATCAAATATGGTGCATAATGTATATAAATAAAATATTTTAAACAATTACATTTTTAAATGTTCAGCGTAAAGGGACCTAAATAGAAGTAAGATTTGTACACTCAACTTGAAGTAGTAAGCCATCAATATCAATAGGCTATGATAAGTTATATACATGCATAAGGAAATACCCAGAAAAGCCATTTAAAAAACTGTACAAAGCAGTACACATAAACATAATACAAATATGTCAAAACAAAATACTAATCAATGCTCAAAGAACCCATAAGAAGGCACTAAGAGAGAAATGAGAAACAGAAAAAATACACGGACAACAAATAACAAAATGAGAGATTTAAGCCTTAAGTATCAATAATTACTTTATACATAAATGGTCGAAAAATACCAATTACATGACAGAGGTTGAGAGTGGACAAAAATCATGACCCAACTCTACACTGTCTATAGGAAAGTCATTTTAGGCATAACAACATAAATAGGCTGAAAGTAAAAGTATGGAAAAGATATATTATGAAAATATTTCTAAAAAGACAGAGTAACTATATTAATATCACATAAAGTAGATTGTAAAGCAAAGAAAATTACTAGGGACAAAAATAAGATTACATGATGATAAAAAAGCTCAATCCACCAAGAAGATAACAATCCTAAATAGTTATGCACCAAACAACAGAGCTTCAAAACGAACCAAAATCTGATGCAGCTGAAAAGAAAAACAGACAAATCAACAATTATGGGGGTCTTCAGCACCTCAAATTTATTATTTGTTTCAATAGATTTAGAGGTGGTTTTTGTTATGTTCATGAATTGTATAATGTTAAAATCGTGACTTTCAGTATATCCATCAGCAGTATAGTATACAATTATACCCAAATAGTAATTTTTTAAATCTCTCACTTCTTTCTTTCCCTCCCGCTTCTTAGTTTCCAATGTGTATTACATATGGTCATACATTTTATGGCCACACCCTTTGTTTAGCTTCCACTTACACAATACTCCACTCTTAATGGATGACAGAACAATTAAACAATCAACATTGATGTTGAAAAACTGAACCTTACCTCCAACTAACCAGACCTAATTAACATTTATAGAACACTCCACCCAACAACAGAATACACAGTCTTTTCAAGCAAACATTGAACATCACATAAATAGATGATGTTTGGAGTTGTAGAACAATATTTAACAAATTTAAAAGAATTGAAATAGTACAGACTATGTTCTCTGACCATAATGGAATCAAAATACAAATCAATAATGGCAAGACAACCTGAAAATTTCCAAACACTTGGAAATTTTTACAGTTTTTGGCCAGGGCTGGGTTTGAATCTGCTACTTCCAGTACATGGGGCCAGTGCCCTATTCCTTTGAGCCACAGGCACCGCCCAACACTTGGAAATTTTTTTTAAAATGCTTTAAATAATTCATGGCTCAAATATGGATATCACAAAGAAAATAAAAATTGAAATAGAACTGACTGAAAACTAAGCAAAATGTTTAAATTTGTGGGATGCAGCTAACATAGTGCTAAGAGAAATTTATGGCACTGAGATTCTACATAA